GCTGATTAAAACAGTAATTTTTCAGTAGTAATAAAACAAGAATATCTCTAATACATTGTTGCAGAATTTTCTATGGGCTGCCCTTTCAGGAGTGTGTAATGGTATGCTCTCCAATTCTCTGGATGATTAATCAGGAGAAAAAGGATGATCAAAGTGGAATTATGGACTAAACATACCAAAATGATATTTAACTAGGAGAAAGATTACATAGCTGGTATTTATTCAGGTGAAGGGATTGGGTAAACATGGAATGGGGGATATAGAATTTAGTTGTAATACTAGTGGATTGTTGATGTGGTAAGAGTCAAATGTGTTTTGCAGCTGCTTCTAATGAGTAATCTTAGGCTGCAACACTCACAGAATAATTGGCACTTCCACGAGGAGGGAGAGCCCTACTCCCCAAGTCTGACTTTAGGTCAATTTTAGCACAAAATAATATGTCCAGTGGAAAATAGGGAAACACTAATCTTTTCATATAAGAAAGCAAGTGAAAGTACTGGGCATCTTTAACTTGTGGAGAGAACTTAAGAATACTATAGTTATTTTATAAATATTTGGAATTCATTAGATATATTTAAAGATGACTGATGCTTGGATAGTACGTTTATGAGCTATAGAGTTTGCTCGGTCTACCTCATAGTTGTATGAGTTTGGGAAAGCCACTTTACTTCTGTAAGCCTTAAGCCTTATTTACTGATGTTTAAAATGGAAATAAAACTTATTTAATTAAGCTGTAGTTAGTATTAAATCAGATAGTATATGTAATGCATAAAAAACTACTGTGTCATCATCCTTTTAAAGATTGGTAACTGCATCATATTTTTATTATATTATTGCCATGTGTTTAGAATATCTGATAATCAGAAAAAATTCAAGGTACAAAGATGTGGACAGATTAGGAGATAATAGTTATTAATATTTTGTAGAATGGAATATTTAATATCTAGATTTGAATTTATTGTATAAGTAGCCAGTTCACCAGTAAATATTTTTGACTTGGGAGGGCTTTTGCTTTCTAACAAACATTGTAACTATAGAGGCTTAAGTAACAAATATTCAGAAAACAAGAACCATCTGTATCTCTGTCTAGGCAAACAAAGAGCCCAATATTATTTTGAACATTATCCAGTCTTTTAAATTATGAAAAAGTTTGGATAATAGTAGAGATTATTAGGAAATAATTGTGAAAAATCATCATCAACCCCATCTTTTTCTCTTGACTAAGCTTTGCATAAATTTCAGAGTAACCAATCTATGTAATGTCAGACTTGGTTTTGAAAACAATGTGAAAAAGGAAACAGGAAAGACCTTCCACCTAGCTTTAGAGATTTCTGTCTATAACCCCCACAAGAGCATTTCAATCCAGGATTATACATAGTGTATGTCATCAATTTATAATGCAATAATATGCATTATACATAATAATACATTTAAAATATATTATCCTAGATGAGTATGCTTTTGTGTGTGTATACATTTAAAAGTGCTTAGTTGACAGTATATTGTTTTGTCTTAGTATTTGTTACTACCTAGTTTGAGAATCTTTTTCTTTCTATGTGAATTTAATATTCTTACATTTGTTTTAGTTATCGTAATATTGAGAGCTATTTTTGCTCTCTTTAATAAGTCATATGCATTAAATTTTATTTTCTCTATTCCCACATACCATATGATGAATTGATATTTTTTTCTGGCTCAAAAGTTACTTACTCTATTTTTATTCACTGATACTATCTTCAACTCACACTTACTTTTGTTTTTCTCATCATTTTCTAATGCAAGACATTTCTTCCTATTGATTGTTCCTGCAGTGCCTCCTCCTGCCTAACTTCTTTTCCCCTAAACCACGAATGATACAATATTTCAGTTCTATGTCTTCATGAATATGCATTTGGGGTCTTTGCTTCATTAGACAAAATACACTTTTGTAGGTGATTCTTTCATTTTCAGCCCTTTTCTTCTCCTAGTCATTTTCTTCTTTGTGCAAACAGTATTCCATTCAAATGAAGTTTAACAACTTCAATTGAATTATCGTGTTTGTACAAATAATTTAACTAGTCCTTGAAATCCTCAAAAGCAGGGACTTTGTGCTTTATTGTTGTGTCACCCAATATAATACGTCAATGTGTTAGATAGTTGATAGATATTTTTCGGTTGAGGATTAAATGAAAGAGCATTTTGTCCACTTAGAACTGCCCTGACCATAGAAACACATTTATTGAACATTTACTGAGCTTAAGGAAACTGGATTATCACAGGCCAGTAAAGCCTTTATCTATGTATTATGTTTCTTATTTGCTTATTTCCGATGCCTCAGTATGATAGAATATTTTATTTTTCCCTTTTGCAAGCAGTAGACACTGTGTTTCTTACAACATTTTGTGTTCCAGTAAATTGAACTCTTTAACTACTTTGTAGGAAGTTAAACTACTACTGTTTGAAATCTTCCAGCTTGTTTTTTTTAAGACATTATTTTTAAAAATGCAAGGAAGAAAAAAAAAAGTAATTATCCTGAAAGAATTTAAGAAAAACACCTTGAAAAATTTGACTTCAGTAAATTCTATTTTGACTGACAGGGTTTTCTTAGCATCTACTAAAGAAGTTTAATAAATTATATCTCTTGTGAGCTAAGTTCTTTCTAATAAGAGTACAGGAAGTATTTAATGACTGAACAATTAAAGGGCCACTTAAGCTGTCCATTCATTCATGATAAAGAAATTGAGAAATGAGGAAGAAGTGGGCAAGAGCTCTGTTTTCCCACGTTGAGATTTAGAAATGTTCTAAGGAAGACACTCAAATGAAATGCTTTATTAAATAGCCCCAGTAAGCTTTCCTTATTTTAAAAAAGAACCCTCCTGACCTAGCTATCTCTCAGGCACTGTGGTTTTTTTTTACCTAGCTATCTCTCAGGCAGTGTGCTCTTTTTTTCATCTTTCTTTAATAACTAATATTCATAGAATGCCAGGTTTCTCTCACTGTTCTCACTCATCACCCACTTTGTTTCAACTTTTTGAATATAGATTTTACTCTCATTATTCTAATCACATCTGTCTTAACAATCAACAATACATGTTCTTTTTTCAGTTCCTCAATGTTTTTTTGTAGCATCTGATACTCTTACACAAATTCTAACAGTCCCTTCTCTTTTAAGATTGAATAAAATTGAGTTTAATTTTTCTTTTTTGACAACTCTTTTCTGGAATTTCTCCTAAACAGCCTCTAAATGTAGGCACTTCTTAAGGATCTACTCTTGTTTTTGCTTTCCTTTCTACATTCTCTTCATCAACAATTTCATCTGATTTCTTAAAACTTTATGTGTGTGGATTTTAATAGTTTATCCTCAGTTTTAACTCCTCCTTTTGGCTGTAGACCTAAATTTTCCAAATTTCAAACATGTTAAGATTGGATTTATTAATAGTCCCATCAACATTTACTTTTCATCCTATATTTTTAGTATCTGTTAATGCTTCTAATATGATCTATTTATCCAAGCTCTTTAGCTCTGGCTCTCAGACATTCAGTACCTTTACATCCATTTTGTATCAACCTGTATTTATACTTTCTACATTCAATGTCATTGACATTTGTCTCTACTTTCTATTCTTTTTGCTGAGGTATTATGAAAATTTCTTAAATAATCTTAGATAAAATAATGTTTAAGAGGTACTCAATTGACCAAATAATTTTCTTGCTCCTTAAAATTTGAAAAGTCCCTCACTGTGTGTTGAATAAAATCCAGTGTCCCTTGCTTAATAATTAGGGCACCAGTAAACTATTTTGTCTGTTTTTTGTTTGGCTTTGTCATTGTACATGGTAACAAAGATACACAATCAACATATACCTTCATGGTACAGTACAAATTCTGTACTGGTAGGAATCTTTCCTGACTCCATTTGTAATGCTAAGTAGCTATTCCAATTTTAGATTATTTTATTTTCCTCTCATTTACTTTAGTATTTTATCCATATCCATACTGAATACTTAAGAACTATATACAAAAATAATCCACCTAAATTCCTACTTGCAGGAGTTATTATCAGAGAAATAAGAATTCCCATTTCCTTAAGAAAAACAATATTAGGTGGGGATGGATGGGTGAGCGGGTTATGTTCCCCCACAAGGTAGGCATGCCATCTAGTGACATCCCCACCACATTGCAAGACTTGCCTGAAGTCTGAAGATCCATTTTCAAATTTTCCAAGGGAAGATGTCAAAACAGACCTCGCCTTCTAACACCTGCCCCCCAACACACACACACTCTATATATAGAGCAACAAGGAAATATTGCATGGTTATTGTTTTTTGGTTGATATTAAACACTGTAAACCAATTGTTTAAGGCTGATAATATAGATATGTTTAGAGAAACAAACAGATGCACCTGAAATTTTATTAGTATTAACCACAATCAATGATGAATATGGGTTCACTTTCCCACAAGAAGTTTAGAGTGCCTGAAAGCTTGGATAAATCTCTGACAAACTGTGTGAAGTTTATCCTGGGAACATATGGATAATACATTCAGCTAAAATATAAATATAATTAATGGAAGAAACATAAGCTTTGGGGTCAGATAGTTTGCTGTTATAAGCTCTGTAATTTTGAGAACAATACCCAGTCACTCACAGTACCATTTTCACATCTGAAAACTTGGGGATAGGAAGACATTGGTTGCAAATATGAGAAATGATATAGAACTCTTGACCTCTAGTAGGCACTCAATAAAATATGGAAGTTGGTTTTTAATGATTGTTGTCCTTTTTTACTTTTGATTATGTGTATAGAGACTTATATTTGATTTCAAGCTTAAAAACTGTAATTTCTATGTCCTCAATTTGTTTCATTGTATAGAGTGCATGCATTGATAGAAATCATGAAAGATTATATGCCTGTTTAATCAATATGTGACCAAAAATTATAAAACAATCTGACTGAGCCATTAAAAGCTTTATCTATAACATTCTTAAAAGTATTCAGGAAAAGTAAGTTGTTCATACTCACAGCTTTCCAGTTGCATTATACATGTTTGTACATCCATTGGAAAATTCTTGAGGTCCATTGGACAGGAAAGTGTTAATGTTAATCTGAAATAATTCAAAGTAACTTTTTAAATGGAAAATTGTGACCTCATATTAATATTCTATTGTGTAGGGAAAACAATGTTGCTTTTGTAATGACTAAAGCCTATTCAGATGGAATTTTCTCCAACTTAATTATGTTTTTTACTATTAAATAGCTATATGTTTACACATAAATCTGTTTGGGGGACTGGAGGATAGTTGTATACGTAAACAACACATCACATTTATCTGTTTTTAAAGTTTCCTTCACAGAGAACTGTGGTTGTCTAAAAGAATCCTATATTTCCAGAACAGATGCCCAAAAGAGAAATTAGAGGGTGAGATCTATAAAATAAAAGTCAAATGTCATGTTTTCCCCCAAAGCATATTAACAGAGTATTTAAAAGGGAAGTATATAGGGGGAATTGGCCTTCTAACCATGGAAAAGCAGGGTAAAAAGAATAAGCAATCCTATATCACATCTTTCAGTCATTTTTGAAACTGTTCAGAGTTGACAGTGAATATGCAGCAATATTTGATGAACAGAATCTGGAGAATTTCAAAATTTAGTTCATAGACTCAGATTCTTGCTGTGGTGTTAGGGCATCTTATCAGGTGTCAGGGTCAGGAAATAGCCCTCTAGCATCTGTAACGTAATTCATGTCTACCAAACAAGTTCCTGATTTGCTTCACGTACTGGATAACCTGGATGGAGCTACTCTAGCATTCTATTTATAACAAAGGTTCTCCAGCTCCCATTTCCAAACAATGTTAGTATGTTGGGATTCCAGAAAATTATCACTCTCTTCCATACCTTTTGCTAGGAAAGTATAGTATTGAAAGCTCTACAAAGAATTTGTAGTTCATGGGCCTAAGAGAGAGATCGAGGACTGGAATCACACTCAACATTTTTCAAAGTTCTTTTCCAAGAGTTCTGTAAGCAGTCTCTTTTATTGAAATTATCTCCATTGAAATTCCATGTATCAGTGAACACCCTCAGTTGATTAGGTAACCTAACCTCTGTGACCACAGATACAGTACTGCAACCTCACTACATTGCAGCTTCTTCACCTCAAAATTGAAGATGATAGTAGGATCTACGCCAGAGAGTTGATGTAAGCAATACAAGCATTAATGCATGTAATGTGTTTAGACAAGTGCTTGGCACATAAAAAAAATTCAATAAATATTAGTTGTTAATGGTCACTAGCACATTCTACCAGTCTGCTACTTCCTAGTGCCCCTCTCTCAAAGTGTAAAGTGTGGAAACAATGATGAATGAAATAAATACAAGAAATATAAATATTTCTTAAAAGCTTTACAAAAAATAACCAACTCTACTAAATGTAATGATATTCTTTAAAATGTCACTTTCATGTAGACCACAGACATAAATGGGCAGACATATGGAGCTGCTGAATTTTTAAGAGTCCCAAGAGAATCAGACTCTGTAACACACTAAGGTTAATTCATACATTTAATTATTCAAAAGGAGTTTTTCTCCTGATTCTCTAAGGTAAGCAATCTTGTAGGTGATTGCAAGGATTTACAATGTTCTCTCTTAAAAAGTCAATTGTAAAAATAGGTGGACACAATATTCTCTGCCTTGTGAAAGAATTTTTAAAAGAGTTTGCACATGCACATTTTTAAATATACACACATTAATTTTCCAAATATTCAAGCCTCTTAGCCAGCCAGTTTTAAATGTTGACTTGCAGAATTCTCTGACCTTTTGTAAGGAAGTACATAGCATTCTCAGAATCTTTTCCACACTCTCACCATTCATTCCCTGGCTATTTTTCTGGCATAAAAGACACGTTAAGTAATTCTTAAAAAAAAACTTGAAAGGAATTATTTAGAAAAGCAAAACAGTTTGTAGAACTCCTGTCATAAATCATATCCCAAAGAAAATCTATTTATTGACTTTGCTTTCTTTTGGTTTATGGTATGATACAATTGCTTCTTCAATAGCATATTGATGAAAAATATTTTTCATCTTGGTGGATGTGATGCTGAATTTCTTTATTGAAACATTACATATAAATTAAGGATATGTCCTGACCACATCAAAAGAAAACTAAATCAAGAGGTAATTACACAGATTCTACTGTTTTGGAAATGAATGTGTTCTTGTCTAAGAAGGACACTAAGTTCTCTTTCTGAGACAAGACACATAAACAGGATATGGTATTTTGTTTTCACCTAAGAAGTCTGTGCTTAGTGAGGTAGTAATGTTTAAAAAGTTGACTATCATCTTTGACAAAAAAATTGGCCTCATTAAAATTTAATTATTGCCTGTTTTTAAAACAGCATTGCCTATCATATGGCATCTATTGCAACCACTTATTGAAGTTAAAAGTATTTTCTGACTCCATTACATACTTTTTATGAAAAATAAGTTTTCAATATTTCCTTATATTTCTAAATTTGATATAATAAAGACAATGGCCTCTTAAACAGCAATTTATCACCTTTGAAATATTATCTGTAGTATCATAAGTTACACACTTATAGTGCTAATTTGGTGGTAGGCATGAGTCAAATACTTAAACATGGTAACTTATTGATTCTGTAATGCCCATTATCTTAAAGATGAGGAAACTTAGCACTTAGCATTACACAGAAAAACATTGGAAGAGAAGAGTTGTCAACTCTAGGGGCCTCATTCTACATTCATACTCCACCCTGGGACATTTTCATGAAAATAGGTTCTATAATTAATATAACATTTTAAATTACATAGTTGTATACTTTTGTAAGAACAGATGATACAATACATGCTCTACTAGCTATTAAATTTGTAGTATAGCACACACATAAACATTTGTTTCAAAAGAAATTAGAGAAATGCAATTATAGAAAGTATAAATTTTCCCCCTGGAACTTATATATTTATTTGAGTGATTTGGTATTTTATTATGAATGATTTCATAAATTTAATAAACAACTCCTAGAAGAGATTAGATTGTTGGAGCAATGAAAGTGAGATTTGAATTAGTTTCTGTGAGTTAATTCCAGAGTTTTGTTGTCATCTGATTTCAGGGCCGAGCATAAATCTTAACAGTCCATCACCAAAGCAATCTCAATATTGAAGATGATCTCTTTTGGAAACTGATGTGTATAAGCTATGCCCCTCTTCAGAAAAACATGCACTGTTTAACACGTGCCAAATTCTTTTTACAGCATATGTTTCATGGCATCATAAATCAATTTCCTTTGAATGAGTGGCATTTTAAAAAATATTTGTTGAGATAAGTTTGCTTTTCTGTTTAAAAATGAATGCCTGTTAATGTCCAAAAAATAAAACATATTATAGGAATAAATGTTAATTCTTTGCACAAATAAAAATTGTGAGTATATTTAACTTAAAAGTTGAAATTGTATTATGACCTTTGCTAAGTTATTGACATAAACTTTTTTCTTGTTTCATGATTTTTAAAGTAATACTTCTTCAGTATAAATGATAAAGTTGTGAGTATTAGTGTGTTAGTAAAGTGATCAGTATATCATGTTTAACTGTCTCCTATGTGCAATGTGCTTCCATAATCTCATGGTAAGGGCATCGCTGTCCCCACTTACAAGTGATAAAACTCAGGCTTCCTTAGGGATTTACAAGAGACCATTCAGTGCTGATTCATGAATCCTAGAAAATACCAAATTTATGTTTTTTTGTTTTGTTTTGTTTTTTGGAAAGATAAAAATAACTCTAGTGCCTATTATATACCTGGCACCATGTTGGAGGTTTTACATTCATTATTTTCACTCAAGGTAATTAGTGCTATCATTAGCACATCTATAAGAAAAATGAGGCTTTCTGAAGTAAAGAGACTTGCCCCAACTGGGTTGAGAGATGTAGTTAATCTTCCTTGGGTCTCTTGGTCTCCTATACCCTTGCTGAGCATACCAACACTACAAGACCCTGACCATTGCTTTACCTGAGCTGTTTCTCATGGTTCTTTATTCACCTTCTAATTTCCTGACACGAGATAAAATTGTTCATTTGAACAAAAGGAACGCTTATTTGTAGCTTGCTCTAAAAGTAGTAGGTTCTCCAAACTCTGTTCTACACAGCTGTGTTATAGATATAGCACAAACCCCGTTGTGTTGTTCCAGGGAAACTTGAGGAAAAGGAAGAAGTAAGGCCAATGTGCTGATATTTATGCCGCTTCCTTGGCCTGAATAATGACTACTTTGTTTCTGAGTCAGAAGTCCTGTGTTTCCAGGACAATTTCCACATGAAATTGTGGTAGACTAACTTTACAATCAGGGCAAAATAAAACACCAAACTTGACAATTTGGAGGTCATGTGTCTAGCTCTCAAGCCCTCATTCACTTAAAAGTAATTTATTTAAAATCATCAATATATTTCATGTATATCATTTAAGAGTTCAAATGGTTCTATAAAACATATTTAAAAAGTTTTACCTTTGTTCTATCCATTCCCTCCTCCAGTTCTAGCTCTTCTGAGATAATCTTTCTTAGGTATTCTTCTACAATTTCTATTCGTGTATCTAAGTTGTTGCAATCTTATGCTTGGTTTTTAAGAATTAGAAATTTTCTATTAATTTCAGAGAAATTATAAGTATTTTTCTTATAACATATTGCTGGAATACTTAACTCTCAAATGTCTATTTTTAAGAATGAGGCACTAAAATATTGTAGGAACATTTATGATTAAACAAACATTGAGTGTTTACATGTTATGAATATGTAATTATTGTTCATGGGTAAGCTTAGTAGTTTTCTATAATTACAGCTTTTGTGTAACATTTTGTTTTCCTCAGTGTTAATAAGTATCTAATTTTAACAGTCACTACAGTTTCTATATTTTTACTACTCAACTCTCAACTCTCCGACAGTGCTACAAAATCCTTTTAGTGATTGCACACAGCAGGAAATTGCCAGTTCTGTTTTTTATGAAAGCCTGTCTTCATTTTTGTCCTGTGCCCTTCAGTCATATATTGCACTTCTGAAATGATGTTCTGATTTTTACATCCCTTTTCTCCTGTGATTTATTTTTTTGG